CAAAATCTCGCCTACAACCAATCAGACTCTACCGCCACCTCAAATCCAAAAATGCTCAAGGCCATTACGGAACCTTTTACAGAAAAGATAATCCAGGTAAGTTTATAAATACTTAAAAATAAGAGAAATAAATACCCATATGCACTATCTGATTTGTATTTTTACTTTCTCGTATAAACGAAGTTTAGAGAAAGTCTTGAAATCGTGCAAAAAAAAAATCGAGATTTTAACAAATCTCGACGTTTTACACCTCACTGATACGGAAAAACATAATTTTGCAATCTTGTCCGTATGTGTGTGTGTGTGTCTGTGTGTGTGTCTGTGTGTGTGTGTGTGTGTGTGTGTGTAAACACGATAACTTGAGTACCGTTACAGCTAGGTTGATGAAATTTCATATATAAGTATTTTATCAAAATCGTAGATCCGTATCAGCTTTTGAGCGATTTCCGATAAACGGAAGTGGTACTTTTTCTACTTTGAATTTTTCAAAAGCCTATAACTTGAGTACTATTTCAGATAGATAAATGAAATTTCACATGTAAGAAAAAGATCCAATTCTCTACCTTGTGTCAAATTTTGAGTAATTTCCGTTGATCGGAAGTACTAATTTACACTATTTCCGATTTCTCAAAAAACGCATGTAAATTTATAAAGTACTAATAATATTGAGCACTATTATGCACATCTTTATTTGGCATTCGCTTGGTGCGCAATTCTTTTTTCTACTAGATTCTATTCTATTTTTAAAAGTTTAAGTAAACAAAAATCATGTCAATATTCCGAGTTGCCATCCCACGTACTGTTATATTAGAATATTCGAGAAAGTTTAGGGGAGATCAGTCCCGGTTTATTTAATATACATTAAATTAGAAACGACAGCTAATAAATTAATTCAATAACTTTTGAAATTATGCTCGTTTTTTGGATAATATCGACATAATGATTAATTACTGATTTAATCATGATTGGGCAGGAAATTTAAAAATTAGAAATCGGACTGTAAAAGATGGAGACCAAACAATTTGTTATGATAATCCTTAATAGAACTGTGTAATCAATTTGACGAGATTAAAGATTTAAAAAAAAAACATCGACAAAATTAGAAAGCAAATATTAGCATAAAATAAATATCTGACGCAAAATGATGTTTTCAAAACACATTCAACATTAATAGTTAGTCTCACTTTGGTTAGCTACAGAGACGGCCAATAGACTTGATTGTATAGGACTAATAGTTTAAAGTATAATTTAACCTTGTTCATACGATAACTGTTACATGTGTCAAAATTTCTGAACTGTCTAAACAGTTGTCTTCAAGTAAAATCAGAGCTATTGCCAAAGGTGAAGAGGTCAACGGAAGTATCATTGTACCAGGTAGGTCAAAGGTCATTAATAAACTCATGGGTTAGGGTTTTATTTCTAAAACTCCGTAATCATGAATTAAAATCTTTTAATTATCATTAGACAAATAATTTTGAACACTGATATATTCAAAACGACTTTAAAATGTTTAAAATTTTAAGTCACAGAATAATAAATCAGTTGTAGGACAACTAATTTTTAATACATGTATTCATAAGCTTGTAAACAGAGAGTTGATGAGGGGAATTGCAACTGATCAGAAGCAGTGGCGTAGCGAGGTCGGGTGTCACCCGGTGCGGCACTTAATGGTGTCACCCCCTCAGAGGCGTAGCGACTCTTCCAAGAGACAAACTTCCAATTTTCGATTTGCACCCCACTCGAACTTTCGATTTGCACCCCCCCCACCCTCGAACTTTCGATTTGCACCCCCCCCCCCCCCTAAAACTTTCGATTTACACCCCCCCCCCCTCAAATTTTTATCTATTTATTTTATGATTTTTTGCGTCAGTGTCACACCCCTAAATGGTGTCACCCGGTGCGGGCCGCACCCCCGCCCCCCCCCCCCGTCTACGCTACGCCTCTGATCAGAAGCGTAGCGACCTATTCCAGCGCCCGGGGCATACTATCAATTTTGCGCCCCCTCCTTCCCATTTCTTAATATGATTATTTCTGCCTGTGAAAAAAGCGCTTGTGTAAAGCATAGTAGTTGTTTAGTTTCGTAACTTTCAGCTTCATCATTCCTTTGTGGCCGGTTTGACTGTGGTTAATTCAATACTTCAGCTTAAAATGAGCTTTTAAATTAATTTTCCTACCCCTTTTAGCGCCAGAGTTTCTTCCAGGCATCTCTTCGGGGGAGGCAAAGCCCCCCCAGAAAAAATTCTACCGCCCCCCCCCCCCGAACGAAATGAAATTTATATAGTTTATATAGAAAATATATACTTTTAACAGTTTCCGCCACCCCCCCCCCCCCCCCGAAGAAAGTCTACCGCCCTCCCCCCCCCCCGAAAATTTCAAGTGCCCCCCCCCCCCGGAGAAAAAAGTCTGGAAGAAACACTGTTTGGCGCCCCTTGAGGTCGGCGCCCTGGGATGCCGCCCCACCCGCCCTCCCCTTAGCTACACCACTGCTACTGATTATCTAACATAATTATAGTTTTAACAAGATTTTTGTAAATAATTTCGGAAGGTGATCACGTGTTTGACGGGTGGAGCGGGACAGACGCACAGGCCGGGGCCATTATATTGGTTGTGTCCCTTGCCTTGTTGTGTACCTGCCTCGTTCTGGTGGTGAAGATCCTCAGCTCTTTACTCAAGGGAGCCATCGCTAAGATTATTCAGGTTGGTACTACTTTTTAGCGCAATTTCCATACTGGGATTGCGATTATTAATTCGTTATTTCTGGATGGATGGATGAATGAATGAATGGATGTGTGTCCGCAGCTTTTCCGCAGCTTTAAGTCGTATCTCCTCCTCAACGAAGCAATATCGAGGACTAGTTCCAAAGCAAATATGTTAAGCAAAATCCGAGGATGATTGTGGGCCAAAAAAATTCCCGGAATTCCTTCCTGAATTTCCCGGAAAAGCCAAAAAAACTCGAAAAAATGCAGGTTTTGGCCCATATTTCGGCAACCAGACCACTAAGCGACTTGAAACATTTACCAATCGATTCCTGCCATAATTTAGAACAATATTGCCTAAGAAAGTTTTCAAAAATATCCTTTCGTTCGGTCACAAAATTTGTTTTTAAAATTACATAAACACCTACAAACCGATCGTTCTAGCTTGAACGCACCCCAATATTATACGTCTATCTATTTTTAGATAACATAAGGAAATTGCGCTTAAATTGTCACTAGACTTTTTATTAACTTGTTTTTTTTTGTATTCTGGCTACAAATCAGAATTACTACTTTAAGTGTGTGTGTTTGCGTGCGCGTGCGTGCGTTGGTGGAGGCGTGCGTGCGTGTGTGTTTGTGTGTGTGTGTATGTGTGTGTGTGTGTTAATATTTCACACTATGATAAGCGGGTTTCTTTTAAAAAAAAATATCTACACGTCTGATTTAAAAAAAAAAACACAAACTAAAGAAAACATCATACAAAGTAGAGGGCCTAAATAGACACTTGAAATTTGAATACCGTACTTCTAAGGTTTTAACTTATTATTTTATGTTTGTTTTTGTACATGATCAACAGAGAGTTGTGAATGCTGACTTCCCGGGTCCTTTCAAATACCTGACCGGCTACTTCGTCATGCTCGTAGGCGCAGGTGTCACCATCGTTCTACAGAGCAGTTCCATCTTCACATCAGCCCTCACCCCCCTGGTCGGGGTGGGAGCGATCCACCTGACCCGGATGTACCCTCTTACTCTCGGCTCCAACATCGGCACAACAGTAACCGGGATCCTGGCGGCATTGACCTCGTCACCTTCCACGTTCAGAGAGTCGCTTCAGATCGCGCTGTGTCATTTATTCTTCAACATCTCCGGGGTCATGCTCTGGTACGTCGTCCCTCCCACCCGCAAGCTGCCCCTGGGGTTGGCTAAATTTCTAGGCCAGACAGTCCACACTTACCGCTGGTTTGCCGTAGTGTACATCATCTTAGTTTTTCTTCTGTTGCCTCTCGCCATCTTCGGCCTCTCCCTCGCCGGCTGGGAGGTCCTCGTCGGGGTGGGAGTCCCCGTTGTCCTTCTCGTCATCTTCATCATCGTCGTCAACATCCTACAGAAAAAAGCACCAAAATTTCTTCCCGCCCGACTCAAAACCTGGGAGGACTCTGGAATCCCAGAACCTCTGAGATCTTTAAGGCCGTACGACAATTTCTTTGTCCGGTTATCAAAATGCTGCTGTTCCTGTCGTAAGAAACACGACGCTGCCGTCGGTGCTTACTGTAACGAAGGACTCGTTGACGACACTGAAACGACCACCGCTGACGTCACCGGAAATCATTCAACAAGCAGCAGCGATCGAACAGTAGTTACCAAGTTTTAACAATCAAATATTTCTTCTTTGAAATATTCCTACGCTAAGCTGACAGTGTTGAACTGCTATCATATACCTCCACAAACATCGACAGGCTACTTAAGCCTATATTTTCATTTACCCTCATGACACATTATCGTAACATGCAAGCAAATTCTCCTTTTCAAAGACACATTTCATTTTCATAGTTATCCTCCCCTTGCTAAAATGTTAAGGAACACTAAATTATGTCTCAGTAGGACGGAGTGGTCTAGCGGTAGAGAGCTGGACTGCTAACCCTTAAGTCTCGAGTTCGAATCTGGGTTCAAGTCAGTAGACCGTCCCTGAGTCCACCCAACTCTGATGGGTACCTAACTCACGTTAGGGAGAGTAAAGGCGCCTGGGCATAGTGCTGACCACACTTCATATGCCGAGGTCACAGAAACAAGTGAAGTCTACTTCACTTGCCCTGTAGACCGTCAGGTTTGAAAGGGAAACTTTACTTTACTTTTTAAATTATGTCTCATTTGTTTTTTAAAAACAGAAATGTAAAATATACGATACTTTACATTTCCTACACCCCCTGACCCTCCCTCCTCCTCGGTCACAACCGAAACTCACCGTCACAGAAACAGACCACCCAGCATTCCCGTACCCCAAATTGACGTCATTTCTTAAAGTTCCCTTACTCTTCCATGTCAACACACACATACACACACACAAACACACACACAAACACACACAAACACAGACCGGCAGGCCATTTAGCATAGCCTAGTTATCACCAATAGTATTTGCCACCTGTTATTTTCGACTAAGAATAAAATAGTTTCTTTACTGGCTGTGTTCTGCATTACGTAAGATCAATTTCCTTCAAGTCAATGCCCCATCCACCTTTTTAATTTTCGAAGCTAACGTTATCTGGAACGTTCAACTAGTATATAACTCACTAGGAACTAAATCAGTATTTTGTAAAATGTGTATATTTAATTGTTTTTTAATCTAATAAAAATATTGAAGAAATCTATGCAAAAATAAAGATCAGTTAAACAAAATAAGGCTAAAATAACCGACATCCGGAAATGTATATTGAAATATTCGGATACAAATGTATTTTAATGCTACAATCGATGTTTTTATTTATATATTTTATTTTTAATTTGCTTTGTACATTGTTATTTATTTAAAAAATACTTGATTGCATTTGATTTGTAGCTTTGTGTGTGTGGATTTGTATGTGGATGTGTGTGTGGATGTGGATGTGTGGATGGTTAAAGATTTTAATTATTTTAAGTACACAGTTTACAGATAAAGTAGATATTTTCAATTAAAATTACAATATATTTTCTGCGGTGTCCGAAGGGAGGGGAGGGCAATAGGCATGCTCTCGAGAGATGCCTGAAAGATAAAGCGGGAGTGATTTCCCCTAGACTGTCTTGTATATTACTACTCGAAATTTGAAAGTATCATATGCAAACAATGTAATACTTATATCTGAGATGTTTTCCATGTTACTTAAACGGCACTCAAGTTATTATTATTAGAAACCGAAAGTAAAGTAAATACCACTTCCGATAAACGGAAATCGCTCAAAAGTTAATACAGAAGTACACATTTGATATAATACTTATATATGAAATTTCGTCAGTGTAACTCAAACGGTACTCAAGTTATCGTGCTTACAGACACACACACACACACAGACATACAGACAAAATTACAAAACTACGTTTTCCGCCTCAGGGAGGTGTATGAGAGATTTATGAAAATATCGATTTCTATTATTTGTACGATTATAATATTTTTTTTATACTTTGTATACGAGAAAGTGAAACACAGTTATGGTAAAAGGATGCAGCGGGGTGGGAGGTAGAGCTCTTTGATGCCTTAAGATGGGGTTGGGTGGAACAAGTCGATTTAAAAAGATAGATCTTGGGTCGTTTACAGAAGATATAAAAAGCTGAATTCATGAAATTTAAAACAGGATTTGCTATTCCGAATGGAATTAATCAATCGTGTTTATCTGACTGTTTAATTCTGCTTGTGTCGGTCTCCGGAATAGGGTACGGAATTCGCTAGAGTTGACCTCAAGTTAAAAGGTAATAGAAAGGTCAGAACTGGCTAGTATGACGTTAAAGTTATTAACACGAACTTTTGTTTTGAGGCCGACAGATGCGGGTCTTCGATCTTCCACATAAAGGTGCTGAAACCAAACCTAACTTAACATTGTGTTGAAAAGTTCTGTCTTGGAATAACGATTACAATTACTACCTGCCCTCATCTTAAGTCATGTGAACTTTTCTTTTAACATGCTTTTTTAATCATTACTAATATAAAAAGTAAAGAGAATAATAATAATGTTTTCTTTGATGTATAGTCTAGACTTATTATCATGGCTAGGTAAAATGCCTGTCAAGCAAGTGAAATTCGTAAACACTGACAACAGTGGTGTTTCTTTCAGACCTTTTCTCCGGGTCGGTGTGCCCCGCTTCCCCCCTGCCCTCTCCACCACTGAAAGAAACACTTCCTTACAGTTTTCATCATCGCTTTCATTCCCTTTACGCCACACAAAGCTACAACCATCTCGTATATCAGGAACCAACGATCGTATCACTGGGAACAGAACCTGCAGTGTTGACTTGAGCTACGGTTTCTGTCTTGTGAAATACACCAACGATAGAAATGCTGCAATCACAGCAGTTTGCCGTACACAGCTGGGGCTATATAAGCCAGGCCTTGTGGTCACATCTACACTGGGGTAGACTGTCGTAGTAGAGATTTACGGTCGACTCGTCGAAAAAACGACAGAATCACCCAGGAAACATGGACATGTCTGTAGTTGTCTTGGTGCTTGTGGCTGGGGTGGTGCAGTCAACACAAGCAGGTAAAACTTCTCTAAAGTTTTCAGTATTTTTTTTTCATCTAAATCTAAATATATATATATATATATATATATATATATATATATATATATATATATATATATATATATATATATATATATACCTTAATATATGTACCTTAATGTATATCCATGTTTATATATATATATATATATATATATATATATATATATATATATATATATATATATATATATATATATGTATAAAATATGCATATACACATATATATGTTTTATATATGTATATATATATATATGTACAATAATATATATATATATAATTATATATATATATGCAATTATATATATGCAATTATATATATGTGTGTACAAAAATATGCATATATATATATATATATATATATATATATATATATATATATAAGTTATATATGTATATATATATATATTTATTATAGGTATATTAAAGTGTATATAAATATATATAAATATAAATATAAATATAAATATAAATATATATATATATATATATATATATATATATATATATATATATATATATATATATATATTGTTTTTCTACCACTAGCTACCTGTGGCGTTGCCAATAGTTACCGAATCATAGGTGGCACCGTCAGCACGCCATGCCAGTTTCCTTGGATGGTGTTCATCTACAACAGCTACTACAGCAAAATGTGCGGGGGGTCCATCATCGACCAGACGCACATTCTGACCGCTGCACATTGTGTTCTAAACACGGACAAGGCGTAAGTCACTGTGTGAATGAAATATGTTTTCTTTTTACCAGCAATTGCATGGTGAATCACCAACTTCTCGTTCTCATAATAGCCAGCTAGTATATAACAAACCTAATATTTATATTTAACTAGGCATACTGCCTAGATTTGCTTAGGTTTTAAAAATACATTTGAGAATTGGAATACTTAATTATTTAGCGATGGAGTGCTTAAATTTAAACAGTAATGCTAACTTTAGTTGTTTTTTTTTATATTAAATAATTTTTAAACCAATGTAAACCAATACAACATTTTGCAGTGTTAGTCTTATTATTTGTTTAAACTGGTAGTTTTAACACAATTTACAACATTATAATTTATAACAAGTAATGTTGGGGAAAAAATAGATACACTCAAACAAAGCAACTGGCGCACAACATAAACAGAATCCAAAATATTAATCAATGTGATTCAAAATATGAGAGTCGTCCACTGGGTCCATCACTTCAGCTTTGTCCATTGCAACAGTGGTTAAATTTGAAGTATCTGCATCATTTTGTTGCAAACCACTGTCACGAGAATCGTCTGTTTGTGAGTTTGCAACTGTCTCTGAACTATTTTGCTCCGCTGAAGTAGATGACATTTTGACAGTTTCAGAATATGACTTGGGCAAGCTGTTCTCTGTTGCATTTGGTGCTCTTTGCCATGATGGGAGAATATGTGTAGTTGTAGGAGCTGGTGGAAATTGGCTTCTGTTCAACAATAATCCTTTCAGTGAAGCAATATCTTATTTTAGTTCGCTAATCCCTCTTGATTCAGTGTATCCAACTTGTTGCTGTGACTGCTGAGTTTGAATAGTGATTTGGATGTTTGATAATGTTTTATTTAATTCAGCTAGAGAATCGTTCACAGATTTTTGTACATCTAGCAACTGACTTTCCAGTCTCTCCATTCTTTTTTCTTGGATGAACTTACCAGCCTGCCATGGCTTGAAGTATTTTTTAAAGAGTTGATAAACCACATATGAAACACTTGCAACAATCACTGTGGTGAATGTAACATCTCTGGTCTTGGCCCAAGCAGATCGTGGAGGGATTGGAGTTAAGGCATTTGGACTGATGATGCCATTGTGAAATTCCTGTTGTGGCTCGTGATGTCTTACTTCTGCTGATTCTTTCACACCTGATCTCTGGACTGCCAGGTTGATTTATTCTTGGGTAAGCCCCTTTTTTTCCATAAAAGCTTTTTTCTGGTACAACGGACTTGACATGACTTTAGGATTTTGAAGAAATTTCACAGCAGTACTTATTAGGTTTTCTCTAGGGCCTTCTCCTGGGGCTAAAATTTGCTTATCCCCATCTCCATTAAGTCTGTTGTCTGGAGATTCCTGATCCATTATTTCAGCTTTGGTCTGTTATCGCGAGTGCTAAAAAAACATATGATCTGAACTAAATGACCGATAGTTAGTTAAATGTAGGCTAACTTTAGAAACAATGTAGTTGTTGGTTGTTTAAATTCCGTTCTCAGAGAAAATATTGGAAAGTACGCAATGTATAACCAAAATGGAATTAGAACTACACAGGTTCCATGAACAGTATATCTCATAATTTATATTGCATTGCCTTTTAAAATTTATTTATTTATTTAATTAGGATACGTAACTAAATTAGCAACTTAATTTTTTACTAAAACAAATGCTATAGTTCGTCATTTTCTGTTTCTGTTTAAAATAGTATACAATTATTTGAAAAATAATAATTTTAAAAACGTACCTCCCTTGAAAACTGAACGTATGACGTATGTCTTTGTTTACTTTTTTTTAAACAAACAGTTGCTATCCTAATATATAAAAGACCACATCAGAATTTGCAGCGATATATGGTGAACTTGATACAGACTTGTTGAAAATATTTTGTTAGATGTTTTAAATATATATCCCCAATTTTATTTAGGGAAGAAAAATAAAAAATAAAGACGTGTTCGAATGTAGAAACAGTTTTAATTATGCATCAGGAAAAGTTGTGGAAAAAAAAATGCATAAAACAGTGCCGTCACTGATGTTTATACATTAACTAATGACGTCATCTGCAGTGTTTAGAATAAAAAGAAATGAACTATTTCATTCAAATATTATTTAGATCTACGTACGCTATAAAATTTATACAATACAATTTTGCTCGGTCTAAACTTAAAAAAAAATTCTATTAGGATTCTAGATCTAGATATTCTAGATGTAGATATTCTAGATCATCTAGATCTAGAGATTCTAGATCTTCTAGATCTAGAGATTTTAGATCTAGATCTAGAGATTCTAGATCTAGATCTAGATGATCTAGATCTACGGAAAAACTAGACTTACACAGATGTAGACCCTACCTAGAACTAGAATCTATTCAAATAATACATTTCTATACTAAAGTATTTCAGGCTTTAATTACTTTATTGAAATCTTTGTTTATCTATGCAATTTGCTAATCTCTATAATATATAAAGCAAAGTTGTCGGGTGCCCGAAAGGGCACTTCCCGGCGCCGCAGGCGCTTCAAATTTGGCAGGATCTTGCCTTGGGGCGACAGAGCACGGGGGCCGGTTGGCCGAAAAGTCTACGATGAGGGGGTCAAAACTGAACTCGACTGACCGGTGCCTTATATGAGCTATAAATCGAAAAAAAAATGTCCACGGAGGAATCTCTTCTTAACTTCTGAGGTCGTAGACCGACCATCGGGCGAATTAATTAAGCATTCAAATTCTCAATGTTTTCGAAAGCCTAAGCGAAGCTGGGCAGCATGCCTAGTGCTTATATAAGAAATCACGGTATATAGACATATTTAACGACTATAATGGCTGTTTCCGACGGGAATAAAGTTTTTTTGTTATCCTCCAGGGTCGATCTACGATGTCACATAATATTAAGGGGATCGTTTATCAATGTATTTATATGTATATCTCATTTAAGGAGAATTTCACTCACTGTCATCTTTTAGCTCTCGTCAAGGGCTTTGAGTCTGACCAACAGTTTTTTCCATACGGCCTAGTCATCTATAGTAGTGTATGCAAAAACTTAGTATGATGTACAAACGTTAAGTAACCTAAACATTGTGTTGAAATTTCCCTGTTTTTCCCATAAAATACAAATATTATATAGGGAAATACAACTGGTCAGTTTTGACCCCTTTACGAAGTTTTCCCAGATATGCCGAGTTTTTTGTGACACACCAAGGCGTTCTCCTACCACCTCACAAAATGGTTGGAGAGAGTATCATACCTACCTGAAGCTTCAGGAAAAATGAACGAATATTATAACTTTCCATGATAATCTCGGGGCATTTTTATCAAAGCTGCAAAATCGGTAAAGATAATAAATCTTGGAAATATTTTAAATTTGAGAAACTCTGCGGTGTGGTAGATGAATCTGTGAGATAATTAAAATTTTGAAATAAGCTATTTCTGGGCATCTTGAATATCTTGAAAACGAACTGCATCGCTATTTCTCTGAGCTGAAAAAAGAAGAATCTGCATTTACGCATTACCCATTCTCTTCTTCCCTTGATGTTGCAAGCAATCCCGATGAATTACAGGATGATTTCTTTGACTTGCAGAATGATTCCGAGTAAGATGAAAAACTGCAGACACAATTTTGGTGTAGTATTCACCATTCATACCCAAACGCGAAATTGATTGACTTTTCGAGAGTACATTTTCAACACTATCTTCGATTAAAAACAAAATTAAGATAATTATAATGACATAGGTTGGCGTTAAAAAAAAATTTTAAATTAAAAACTTAAACACTAAGGCTTAGTGAATAGTATGCAATTTTACACATGCTATTAAAATAGTTATCAAGAGTAGTTCATATTGAAAGTCTACTAGACAATCTTGTTTTAGTGCTTCTTAATTTCCATAATAATTTCGGCTCTTTAATTCTATGGGGGTCGCGGGTCACTTACTTTTTATAAAAAGGGGTCGCCACTCGAAAAAGGTTGGGAACCACTGCTCAAAATGATAAACTTGTAGCGTGCACTTTTTCTCATATGCTGCTGTTTTCACTTTCAGGACCAACAAAACATATACGACACCACCTTCGGGAATTTTTGTGTATTCCGGGACCTCCTCCATGGATATTTCCATTAATTTAGACGGCGCCATTAAAAGAAACGTAATTTCCATTGCCTTTCACGAGTACTACAATCCAGACCCGATAAGTAGGTTTTATTAGCTAGATACTACATATAAATAGGTTTTATTAGCTAGATACTGTATATATGTAGGTTTTACTATCTAGATACTCCATATTATTAGTATATACTAATATACTGGATGTATAAGTAGGTTTCATTGGCTGTATAGTACATACGAGCCGACCCGCGGCGTATCATACGCCGCTTTTTAGTTGTTTTTTCTACTTTTCAGTAATTCATAATTTGTGAATTCGACAGTACCAATGTTGCCACTGAAAATATTTGCTTTTAAAACACTAAAACCCTCCTTCCCCCCCCCCCCCTCGTGAAAGCAGCCTCCTCTTAGTTACCTCCCCTAAGTTTATAATCGTTTCAAACTAAATTATCTGCCCCTAATAGCCGTCACTAAACCCGGCTCCGTGAACCACAGCTCACCTTACCATGTGGGGGTGGTGGTGGTAGCGATATGCCTAGAGAGGAAGAGAGGGGACTGCAAGGCGCGCTTACAGCTTGGTGTTTTCTAGGGTCTCCAAGAAGAGAATTATATATATAAATAACTAGGTTTTATTAGTAGATATTTACTACATATACGTAGGTTTTAGTAGGCAAAGATATGTTTTGTTGGCTGAATACTTACATAGCTTTGATTGCTAGATGCTACATAATGCTTGCATTCTGCAGTTTAGTTTGAAATAATCTTGGATTTCTGGCACTAGGTAACTACTAACTTATTTTATTTTTATTTTTTTATTTTTTGTATTTAAAAAAATATTTGAATTCTCCAGTCAATGACGTCGCCGTGTTGACGCTGTCTACACCGATTGTTTACGATAGGTGCCACACCCCCGTCTGTCTGGCAAATGGCACCAAGACGCCCCAGATGGCGACAGGATGTAAAGCTATGGGCTGGGGGCGTACGATCGGTGAGTCAAAGTGGGCTGGGGAGTACGATCGGTGAGTCATGGTGGGCATGGGAGTACGATAGGTGAGTCTAGGTGGGCTGGGGGTTGCGATCAGTAATTCTTGGTGGACTGGAAGTGTACAATCAGTAATTCTTGGTGGACTGGAAGCGTACAATCAGTAATTCTTGGTGGACTGTCCACCAACAATCAGTAATTCTTGGTGGACTGGAAGCGTACAATCAGTAATTCTTGGTGGAATGGAAACGTACAATCAGTAATTCTTGGTGGACTGGAAGCGTACAATCAGTAATTCTTGGTGGACTGGAAGCGTACAATCAGTAATTCTTGGTGGACTGGAAGCGTACAATCAGTAATTCTTGGTGGACTGGAAGCGTACAATCAGTAATTCTTGGTGGACTGGAAGCGTACAATCAGTAATTCTTGGTGGACAGGAAGCGTACAATCAGTAATTCTTGGTGGACAGGAAGCGTACAATCAGTAATTCTTGGTGGACTGGAAGCGTACAATCAGTAATTCTTGGTGGACAGGAAGCGTACAATCAGTAATTCTTGGTGGACTGGAAGCGTACAATCAGTAATTCTTGGTGGACTGGAAGCGTACAATCAGTAATTCTTGGTGGACAGGAAGCGTACAATCAGTAATTCTTGGTGGACTGGAAGCGTACAATCAGTAATTCTTGGTGGACAGGAAGCGTACAATCAGTAATTCTTGGTGGACTGGAAGCGTACAATCAGTAATTCTTGGTGGACTGGAAGCGTACAATCAGTAATTCTTGGTGGACTGGAAGCGTACAATCAGTAATTCTTGGTGGACTGTCCACCAACAATCAGTAATTCTTGGTTGAGTTCGTAAGATACGATCAGCTGGGACATGCTATTCATAAACTGGCAGATACTTATAGTGAAGGTTCAGCGAATCGTGTAGGCATGACGCGGGGGTCATATATTTCAAACATGCCTCACAAAACTTCCCTCCACCAGGCTACTCTACTGGACCTATCTCTACCAACCTCCTCTGGGTCGACATGCCCATCGCCTCGGACGCCACCTGCCAGAGCACCTATGGCCCAAATTTCAACGGGAAAAACTTCTGCGCTGGAGCTGTTGACAAAAATATTTGCGCGGTAAAGTATATTTTATATTCACTAAAGAAATAATAATAGAAACAAATCTACATTTGAATATAAATTTAACTTATTTTTATGTCTCACGCTTATAAAATATATTCCATCCTTGAAGGGAGATTCTGGCGGTCCTCTTGTGTGCAAGGAATCCGACGGACGCTACTACCAGTACGGCATCATGTCCGCCACACAAGGCGACTGCCACGTACCTAATGCACTCTTCACCAAAGTCTCAAGTTTTCTCCCTTGGATCAATGGGAAAACAGTGGGATAAAAGGTGTGCCATGGCTAATGTATAACAACTCACTGCTGAAGGAAGTGTTCCTTGTCAAGAAATAAAACCAATTTCGAAACTAAAATTTTCCATTTTTCATATCTTATCCTTAGTTTAAAAGCATCTAAAGTCACCATAAAGTTAATAATATCTATAACCTCTTTCTTTATACATTAAACAATAGTATTCTCGCGAACATTGGAGAAATTCCTGGAGATAAAATTCAGCAGCATGCAATATCTCGCATACAAAATTCAGCCAAATAAACAGTGGCCTCCTATGAAAGACTCCGAAAGTTGGTCAAGGCCTTCTTTTTCTAATCTTTCCAAGAAAATGTTCTATCAATAATAATGGCGGCAAATTGGAAGCGAGCATTGAATGTATTTCGTATCTTAGAAAGTACCTAAAATTACACATTCTTAGTGAACTAACTCACCCTCAATAAAACATTTTGTTGATCCTCGCGACAAGGGTAAAAAACTGACCACGAGTCGTCACCACTTTTTAAATCCTGTTGGAAATCAATATTATACACAGGATACAATGTTCATTAACCATAAATACACAAATACATACGCAACTTAATGTTACAAATATAATCAAATATACATGCATATATATATATATATATATATATATATATATATATATATATATATATATATATATATATATATATATATATATATATATATATCCCGCCCAACCTACATGCCGGTCGACTTTACAGTCTCTCCTGCATCCACTTTATTATTTAACGACAGCTCAAAAGTTTATTGTTATTTTACTTTCGTCATCGGACTATTGCATTATAGATGACCCTAACCTCCAAACCGCCATGGAACAATGTCGTGACCATTGGTCACGTCTAGGACGGTTCATGTAATCTTGGCGTCTGGTAATTGGACGTGGTCCACGTTGGGTACAGTGCGTGTGTCCCAGGTCGATTCGACACACAAATACCGTTCATGGCTATTGTTTTAGTGTGAAGTGGTATAGATGGATTAGGGAAGGAGTTTGTTTTACGACTGTTATTTTATATTTAATATTTCAGGAAAGATTATAAAACTAGCAGTAAAAAAAATCAGTGAAGAATATAATCTTTATAATCCAATGTCTTTAGATATTTTTGGAAATAAAATTGAATTTAAAAAGCCAAAAAAAAATACCTGTGACGTCAGTAATTAAAGAAAACTACTTGTAATAAACTTACCCAAAATTTGTATCCGCCTCTCACCCTACCTGTTTATGTAGTGGTTCATGCTGGTAATAATTGATGGTACAAGCCCGTTAAAATAGACAAATATAACTTACGATTTAGCCAGTGATAACATGATTTTGAGAGGGGATTGGTGATATCATAGTGTATGGTGATACTATTGGTCACATGCTTGTTTATTGTGATACGCTTAGTTACTTTATGGTGTGAGTAGATACTATTGGTGACTTTATGGTGTTAGGAGATACTATTGGTGACTTTATGGTGTGAGGAGATACTATTGGTCACTTGAAGGGGTGTTGGGTTGGGTGACCGGAAAACTGTGCAATCGAAAACTGCGCAATGGAAAAGTGCGCACAAAAAAGTGCGCAAGAGCATCTGTTTACAGACATTAACCAAGAATGCCCACATTCACGTTGTAGCATAATAAATCATTTTTTCCACGAAATATAATAAAATTTATTGTATTCGTATAATTAATTTGTATCTCCGCAATTTTCTGTATGCGCAGTTTTCCATTTTCTGGGAACCGTACCGTAATGATGACTTGGCTTTGTCAAACATTGGATCCTTATAGAGTCTATAATTCAAAGATCTGGGACGACGTGGTCGGATAACTTGTAGACTGCTAACCTGAAAATCACGAGTTCAAATCACGGGTTCGAGTCTATATCACGTTCTTGACTCACGCTCGAGAAATAAAGTCGGCTGGGCATAGTGCCGACCACACTTTTCCTTCGAACCCCGAAGTCAATGAAACAGATAACTGTACTTTATCTGTCCCATGTGTCTCAGGCACGAATGCGTAAGGGTAATTAATTACAAAACTTAAAGCGGGAGAAATCTTGTTTCAAAAGGAAGCCTAGTATAATTAGGGGTCGACCATAACTAACATCACGCTGGGGTGAGGGGCGGACGAGTACGGTTTTGTGAGAAGAGCAAATTAAGAAAATGTGAGGTTCATCGTGTGCTGTTGTTTTTTTTTTTAATTTTAAAATAAAATATATGAAAGGTGGAGGGTAGAGGGAGGAGGTAATCCGACGACGTTTGAACTTGGTAAGTGTCGGGGAAAAAAATCTTGACGTCATTTAAAACAACCATAATAAGGGGAATGAGTTTCACAAGTAATAGGCATTACCTTATTTTTAATAAGAAAATTTTAATCATAAAATGCAATTAATTTTTACTGTTTTTGTCCTGCAAATCCACAACAGACAATTTTATATTGCATCTTATGAGATAACAGTATATTGTTTTCTGACGTGATACCAAAACCTTTAGATACGCATTGTTTCTTTCAGACCTTTTTCTCCTGAGGGGTTAGGGGTACTTGAAATTTCCGGGGGACGGACTAAAATTTCCGGGGTGCGGATATTGTTAAAAGTTTATTTTCTATATAAAAGTCATTTCGTTTGAGGGGGGGGGGGTCGGTGCGTGGAAGAAACTCTGTAGATATGTTTAGCATGAACAATGTTCAGGTTTTTTTATGTTAGTATTCTTTGTATATGGCAAAACGCTTTTGGGAAAGAAATTCAAAAGCGCATATGTGGAAGGACTTGACATACTTTCTAGCAATATAACTAGACAGGCATCAAATTGAAATACCCAAGGAAAGAGGAAAATAAGTATAAATGAACAACTGTTAAGAAAATAAACAAACATAACGAAAATTAGCACACACAAAAAAAAGTTAAACAAAATGAGTAAATAAATAATAATTTTAAAAAATAAAATAATAATTTGTAAAAGAACGAAAATGTGAAGAAAAAAAAGATCAAATCGTGGAAAAAACAGAAAGCTTTTCAACAATGTTTATCTTTTTGTGTACTTAGGAGTTAGCTTTCACACTCCTGCGACCCATATGGAAAAGTTCGGCCATCTCCATTACCACAAAAATTAGGATATTTAACTCTAATGTCAAGGCAGTTCTGCTGTATGGAGCAGAGACATGGAGAGTCTCCAAGGCAAGCACAGCAAAGATACAGACCTTCATGAATAGATGCCTTAGACAGATACTGAAACTGAGATGGCAGGACAAAGTGCCGAACTTGGAACTATGGAGGAAAGCTAGGCAGGAGCCTATGGGTGTGCAAATAAGAAGGAGGAAGTGGCGCTGGGTGGGTCACACACTGCGAAAGGCTCACACAAATGTTACACGCCAAGCGCTTGAGTGGAAACCCCAGGGAAAGCGGAAGAGAGGGCGCCCAAGACAGACCTGGAGGCGGAGTCTTCTTGGGGAACTGAAGCCAACAGGGATGTCTTGGGAGATGTCAAAATTAATAGCCGAAAATAGGAAGAAATGGAAGGAAATGGTGGAGGCCCTATGCTCCATAAGGAGCAAAGAGGACTAAGTCTAAGTCTAAATCTAAGTACTTAGGAGTTATAAGTGTTGGAGTAGAGGTCAAGCGATAACTGTTGTCAATGCACAGCAGTTTTCCGTGTTGCGAAGTTCTTTCAATGAAGAAAATGTGCATGTATTGACCTTGTAACACAAGCAAGGTAATGTCATTAAAATAATTTTATCAAAACGTACCCCCTATGCCGCTTATATCAATATATATATATATATATATATATATATATATATATATATATATATATATATATATATATATATATATATATATATATATATATATATATATGTTACGGTCAAAGCCCGAAGTCGGCCTATGCTAGGATTGGCCGGCCAATCCGCGCATTGGCCAATATCGCCTCCCATAGGTCGGTCAAAGTCCGAAACGTTTTTTTATTTCGGCCTTTGGCCGGCCAATCCGCAGACTTCTTAATTAGAAGGTCATCTGGCTAGGGACGACCGGCCAAAGTCCGAAATAGAAGATCATGAGCAGATTTTGGGTTTTTTTTATGCCGTAAGGATCATGAAATTAAGTATTTATTGATTACTAATTAAAGTAAATGACAGAAACCTTCAATTTTTTTTATTGTACTATAGTCTCAATCTAACAATATCATCATTTGTTACAACAAGTTGAACTTTTATGGCATTTAGAATTACATAGCAGCTTGTTATTTTTACACTTGCAGTGATTTGTTGTGCACTTAGTTGTGCAATTGCAGCGAGTGTAGCCTTGGCCCCCAGTCAATGATTCTTAAGATGCGGTGGTTCGTAGTGATTTTTCCTCAGTGCCAACTGACGACAATAAGAGCAGTTTTTCGTGAAGAATTGAAAACTCACTTCTAGCATACAGTTGTTTTAGAACACCATGTTCCGTTCCTAATTTGTAGAAACCGCCCTCGACGCTCATGACAACTGCAATCACGCTTTGGGGATCACCGTGACCTCTGTCAACATCTGGAAAACGGATGCGTACATTGTCATCCACTTCACCATCATTAAATTTTGTATTTGATGTTTTAAGCAGTTCAGCACCTTGAGTTTGCAAGCTAGTATGAGCTGCTGATCTGTGTTCCATGATGTCTTGTTTGTTGTGACACAATCTGCAGGTAATGTTCCCTCCGTACCCTTCGTCTGCTTCATTGGGTATTCCACGAATAGCATGGACATCGTTGCCACAGGATCCACAAGAGTGAGCTGCACTACAATGTTTTTCACAAACTATACAGAATCTGTTGGCCACATTATTGTCACGCAACTGGTCTGGGCGTTCCGCCACGGCAGTAGATGTGTTAGCTGAGGATGTCGTTGCATTTATGGCAACCTCCATTTCTTGTTCAATGTTCTCAAGATCTTCCTCAGTAACTATTTTATCGAGAGCCCATATATGGAAACTAACATAGATTTACATGTTTTTCTTTTGACAGCCATCTGCTATGTCTGTCTCATGGTCTGACGGCCCTTTTGATCCATGTCGCCTTGCATATTGAATGCTATACAAACAAGAGCTAAACAATACGTTACTCTCAATGAAAACGCACCCAGAATAATGAAAATGCGATCACAACTTAGGCTAGATAGAACATTGGCCAGGACATCCCGGCCAGTGCGCGCATTGACGGTCAATGTACGAAATACGATCTTGGTGCTAAGTTCTTCGGGCTTTGGCCAAGAGAGCCGGCCAATGCGCGGATTGGCCGACCAATCCGCGCTTTGGCCGCACTTCGGGCTTTGACCGTAACATAATACATTGTGTGGTGTTAGGGAAACCAGCGTATATAAACAAAAAGTTGTTTTTTTATTTAGATTTGCTCAAACATTTCCAATCGGCGACGTAATTACTCGTCCGCCCCTCACCCCAGCGTGATGTTAGTTATGGTCGACCCTTAATTATACTAGGCTTCCTTTTGAAACAAGATATCTCCTGCTTTAAGTTTTGTAATTAATTACCCTTACGCGTTCGTGCCTGAGACACATGGGACAGATAAAGTACAGTTATCTGTTTTATTGACTTCGGGATTCGAAGGAAAAGTGTGGTCGGCACGATGCCCAGCCGACTTTATTTCTCCAGCCTGAGTTAAGAAGGTGATATAGACTCGAACCCGTGATTTGATCTCGTGATTTTCAGGTTCGCAGTCAGAAGTTCTAGTATCCGACCACGTCGTCCCAGATCTTGCAAATATAGACTCTATAATGATCCAATGTTTGACAAAGCCAAGTCATCACTATGGTACAGTTCCCAGAAAATGGAAAACTAAGCATACAGAAAATTGCGGAGATACAAATTAATTATACTAATACAATACATTTTATTATATTTCGTGGAAAAAATGATTTATTATGCTACAACGTGAATGTGGGCATTCTTGGTTAATGTCTGTAAACAGATGCTCTTGCGCACTTTTTTGTGCGCACTTTTCCATTGCGCAGTTTTCGATTGCACAGTTTTCCGGTCACCCAACCCAACACCCCTTCAAGTGACAAATAGTATCTACTCACACCATAAAGTAACTAATCGTATCACAATAAACAAGCATGTGACCAATAGTATCACCATACACTAAGATATCACCAATCCCCTCTCAAAACCATGTAATATATATATATATATATATATATATATATATATATATATATATATATATATATATATATTAGTATATATTTATCTATATGCATATATGTATATTTATAACATAAATACATTATATATATATATACATACACATATATATATATATATATATATATATATATATATATATATATATATATATATATATATATGCATGTATATTTGATTATATTTGTAACATTAAGTTGCGTATGTATTTGTGTATTTATGGTTAATGAACATTGTATCCTGTGTATAATATTGATTTCCAACAGGATTTAAAAAGTGGTGACGACTCGTGGTCAGTTTTTTTACCCTTGTCGCGAGGATCAACAAAATGTTTTATTGAGGGTGAGTTAGTTCACTAAGAATCTGTAATTTTGGGTACTTTCTAAGATACGAAATACATTCAATGCTCGCTTCCAATTTGCCGCCATTATTTTTGATAGAACATTTTCTTGGAAAGATTAGAAAAAGAAGGCCTTGACCAACTTTCGGAGTCTTTCATAGGAGGCCACTGTTTATTTGGCTGAATTTTGTATGCGAGATATTGCATGCTGCTGAATTTTATCTCCAGGAATTTCTCCAATGTTCGCGAGAATACTATTGTTTAATGTATAAAGAAAGAGGTTATAGATATTATTAACTTTATGGTGACTTTAGATGCTTTTAAACTAAGGATAAGATATAAAAAAATGGAAAATTTTAGTTTCGAAATTGGTTTTATTTCTTGACAAGGAACACTTCCTTCAGCAGTGAGTTGTTATACATTAGCCATGGCACACCTTTTATCCCACTGTTTTCCCATTGATCCAGGGGAGAAAACTTGAGACTTTGGTGAAGAGTGCATTAGGTACGTGGCAGTCGCCTTGTGTGGCGGACATGATGCCGTACTGGTAGTAGCGTCCGTCGGATTCCTTGCACACAAGAGGACCGCCAGAATCTCCCTTCAAGGATGGAATATATTTTATAAGCGTGAGACATAAAAATAAGTTAAATTTATATTCAAATGTAGATTTGTTTCTATTATTATTTCTTTAGTGAATATAAAATATACTTTACCGCGCAAATATTTTTGTCAACAGCTCCAGCGCAGAAGTTTTTCCCGTTGAAAGTTGGGCCATAGGTACTCTGGCAGGTGGCATCCGAGGCGATGGGCATGTCGACCCAGAGGAGGTTGGTAGAGGCGGGTCCAGTAGAGTAGACTGGTGGAGGAAATTTTCGTAAGGCGTGTTTGAAAAATGACACCCGTGTCATTCATACACGATTCGCTGAACCTTCACTATAAGTATCTGCCAATTTATCAATAGTATGTCCCAGCAGATCGTATCTTACGAATCCAACCAAGATTTACAGATCGTAGGCCCCCAGACAACTAACGCCCACCCCCAACTCCTCGGCAACCTCTGCCCACCAAAACTCACCTATCGTACATTTTAGCCCATTAAGACTAACCTATTGCAATTCCCCAGCCCACCTAGACTCACCGATCGAACTCCCCAGTCCACCAAGACTCACATCCCCAGCCCACCAAGACTTTGTGATCGTACGCCCCCAGCCCACCAAGACTCACATCCCCATCCCACCAAGACTCACATCCCCAGCCCACCAAGACTCACATCCCCATCTCACCAAGACTCACATCCCCAGCCCACCAAGACTCACATCCCCAGCCCACCAAGACTCACATCCCCAGCCCACCAAGACTCACATCCCCATCTCACCAAGACTCACATCCCCAGCCCACCAAGACTCACATCCCCATCTCACCAAGACTCACATCCCCATCTCACCAAGACTCACATCCCCATCTCACCAAGACTCACATCCCCATCTCACCAAGACTCACATCCCCAGCCCACCAAGACTCACCGATCGTACGACCCCATCC